CCCACGGGCTCAGGCAATCCACTCACCTTGGCCTCCCAAAATGCTGGGATTACAGGCTGAGTCACCAAGCCCGGCCTTCATGACTCCCTCTTGGTCACAGACCTAGCTAGTGGTGAGCCAGAGCTCAGACCCAGTTTTCTCACACTAACTCTCCCTCAAACCACAAAGTTGTAAGTAGTAAGGGAATCTTGTCACTCTTTAGCAGATGGTGACAGCCCAGGATACACAAAAGGTTCAGAAACATTTATGATATCATCCTTACATTTATATGAAAAATGGAAGTCACAGAAAGAAAACGTGAAAACAAAAAAATAATTCTAAGTTCTCCAATTTGCACTTGATAAAATGATTCTAGACTTTCTTACCAGCATCTTTATGGGTTCCTTCTCTTTTGTTCATAGAGGTAAAGCTGTGGTTGTTGACAATGACACAGTGGCCTCTGTGTTTCCCATTCATGCTGTACACATCTACCACCTTGAAGAAGAGACAGAACCACTTAGTCAGATTCTCATTGTAGGGGTTCAACCGACCACTCCAAGGGAGTATTTAGGAAGAGAAGGGTGTATCTCTTAATGCCAGTTTTTAAAATCATGTTTTATACTTTACTCTAAAACCCTGGAATATTTATGCCACAGTATTTCTTTCTTTCTTGCCAGTGTCTTACTCTGTTGCCTAGGCTGAAGTGCAGTGGTGCGATCAGGACTCACTGTAACCTCAACCTCCTTGGCTCAGGTGACCCTATGCCTCAGGCTCCTAAGTAACTAGGGCTACAAGCACACACCACCACGCCTAGCTGATTTTTTTTTTATTTTTTGTAGAGATGAGGTCTTGCTATGTTTTCCAGGCTGGTCTCGGACTCCTGAGCTCAAGACATTCTCTCTCCTGGGCCTCCCAAAGTGCAGGGACTACAAGGGCAAGCCACCGTGCCTGGTCTATAACACAGTGTTTCTAAAGCCACATATTGAAAGATTGGTGATTCTGACCACTCTGCACTCAGTTCTGCTACTAAATTGTAATCTGAATAAAATTCCAAAGATTCTTTTTAAGTCCTACAACCCAGGACAAGGGTTAGATCTCATTTTCACTAAAGACCAGTCACTTCCTTCTTTCAGGATGCCCCTTCCAGTTCCAAAGGCAGAGTTCTCTAGATCCTGGCCCTGGCTGGGAATTAGCCAATTCATTCCAAGGAGGAATGCTGAGTCCTGACTGAGATTCAGACTTCACCTGATTTGATTGCAGAATCTCAATTAGCAGAGTTAAAAAACAGAATATGTATTTTCATATTGCTAAACCCTGAGTTTATGCAAAGGCTTCTTTCATTTGGGGATCAGCAACATGAAGAAAGCATAGGTAAGGTTTAATAAGACAACGAAAATATCAAATACTGAAGTGATCTGATTCCTCCAAAAACAGAGAAGTCTCCTTTGTAACTTTATTTCTGAATATAAAAATAATATATAAACTGGTGGTAGCATGTGCCTGTAGTCCCAGCTACTCAGGAGATTGAGACTGGAGAATCACTTGAGTCCAGGAGTTTGAGATCAGCCTGGGCAACATAGTGAGACCCCATCTCAAACAAATGTATGTATATATACATGTATATATACGCATGTATATGTGTATGTATACACACACACACACATGTGTATACAATTACAGTAGGAATTTAAAAATCTGTGCAATTATTTTTGTAGGCTACTGTAAACAACATACAATTACAAATGAACCGACTTAGCTTTAGTGGAGCCTCTGTGCAGCTAAAATTACCTCTTGAAATCATGATACATTTTTGATCCAAGCAAAAAAGAAGTGGCTTCAATGGATAAAATAAGAAAATTCCCTTCTCCAGAAAATAACCTAAAGGGTATGCATGACTGAAAGCACAATAGCATTGCCTCCAGCCAAAGGGTGTGGAATATCACAATATCACTTCTGTGATATTCTGGCCAGGGTGTATAACTTGAATCTAGAAATGAGGAAACACCACACATATCAAAAATGAGGAAAATTGGGTTGGGTGTGGTGACTCATGCCCGTTATCCCAGCACTTTGGGAGGC